GAGCGGCCGGCGTTTCCCGACCCCATGAGCTGGCTTACACAATCACACGTGGAAATCCCTACAACGCGAGACTACCACAGCTACCGTACAGTATTTCTGCACATGATAAGAGACAATTAGCGTTTATGTTGCTGGCAACGTATGGAAGTTATTGAGGTTGTAAAGGACAGTGGAATACATATTTTGATTTCCCGTGTGTAATGGCAAAGAGGGAGGCTGCTCTTATGAGACATGAATGAAGCCTGACGGTGAAAGGTACCAGTGCAATAACAAGATGTCTCTTCCTTTCCAGCATACATCATTTTCAGAGCTGCATTTGCCATCCTGATTAATTAAGGAAAATCTGTGAGGGGTTCTTTTATAACTAGCTATGGGATGCACACTTTTATATTTTTCATCCTACATCTTCAGTACCATCCTATTCCCCCCCCCCCCATTTTAGGATGTTAAAATCTACTGAATAAGCTTTGGGTTCGGATATTCAGAAAAGCTACTGAATAAACTAGTTCAGCGGATAACTGAGATGATAGCATCGCGACGGCGGCGTTCTATAAAAACCCGAGCGCGATACAAAAAAGAGAGACAGAACCAAGATTCAGATAAGACAGCATCTCAGATTAAAAGAATTCAGATAAAGAGGATCTGAACTGACCTTAGCATTTACAGGAATGGAACATATCCCCCTGCAGATCGCTTCCTATTTAATCCCACTGTAATATCGGAAAGGTTAACAAAATACACACTGCCACAATTAACTTGGAGCACATTGACTCGTTACAGGGAGGAAATGAGCTTGCTGTGAGTATCAGCCTTTCCTTTCTGTAATCTGTTGGCGAGCGGGATGTCTGACTGTGGAAACGGGTCTTAGAGACAGGACGAGCAAGGGCTGCGTTTGGCTTCCCAGAGAGCCCTGCTAGCCTGGCTCAGGCCAAGCACAAAGGGAGCACCTCCAGAAACTAGCGGACAGGCCAGCAGCTACGACCAATTTAATTATTGAGGGTTGTAGTAATTGCTAGTCGGTATCTGTGAGGAAGCCATTTCTGGCACAAAACGTGCTGCCGGCAGCCCCCGTTAGGAGATGGGACCGAGCTGATGGGGTTTGCACTTCAGCTTGCAAAACCCAGGTAGCTGAGCTGGAGCTGTGATTTCCGGAGCCGCAGTATTACAGCTAACGGAGGAACGTTGCCTCCCCATGTTCTCCCTCCGTCTGACCCACGCAGCAAGGCTACCAGGGCAGCCAGTCCGCTTTCAGGTTATTTATTAAGAAAGAGGTGCCTAATTGAAATTTATGACCTTATCGCTGTCACTGAGCATCCAGGAGAGAAGGCTGCATCTGGACGAGGTGGGACTGATGCCTGCTTCTCTAGGACCTGTTTGTTTGCAAAGGACGTCCAGGAAATGCTCCACCATGCAGCTCTTCCGCGCTTCCATTCTGTGCGGATTCACTGTGTGCAAGATCCCGAATTAACCAAACGCAATTAGCACCGAAGCACTCCGTTTTCAAGCAGTTTCATTCTAACCTGAATGTACACAAAATAACACCTCTTCCACAAATGACTAGTATGTTGGGACCCTTACGGTACCTGTGTGCACACATACACACGCAGAGCTGCAAGCACAGAAGTGATACCCATCTAAAACACAAGGCAGATCTGGAGTAAGAGAGACCCTTATTAATCCTTAGAAGACAATCAGTCTAAGCAGTCAAGACTTGGTCCTGCCGGGGGCTCCACTTTTCCTTTTTAAGCTAGCAACAGATACGAACGCGTCTTCTTTTGCTTTCCAGGGTACCATTTCTGTAAGTGCGGTTACGTGGGCGCGGCACGGTGCAAGCTGGAGATCTCCGCTCGGCGCGAGGCTGAGCCCTTATTGCTGTTGCATCTGGCATTTCCTTCGTGCGGAGGAGAATTCAGCTCCGCATTGCGTCAACGGGTGACAGATCCGATTCCGGCCCACATTTGAAGAAGCTGCACTTTGCTTGTACCACATGAGAGCCTTTCGCCAATGCGGTTTTGGTCTTCTACGTACACGTTATACTTGCCATGCTATCTACAAAGCCATTTGTGATACAACGGGCCTGTGCACCCGCTTGGGTAACTTTCGGCAACAACAACAGGGCACAATCATCTCTAGATCTGATCTAACTGCTGCCTTTGGCTGCACATGTGCGATTCCCCACTGAACTTAATGGAAACTGTGCATGCAGGTCTCTGAGCGGCTTCTTGCCAGCGTGCTCGTTTCTGCATACAGCTGGTTTGCACAGCTTCGTGATCTCTGGGTTGATATACGGGAACCTCTTCATCATCTTCCCCTCTGCCAGGTACGCTCAGCTCTTGAAAATTACCTTTCCCCAGCTGGTACACACGGAAAGGCATTGTCCTGAATAATAGTCTCGATGGGTGGCAGTCATAACGTAATAAAAGGATGGTAGGCTGCCGTTAACTTACATTGTATGCTACTCTTTACATGCCTTTTTTCTTCTTTTCCTAGTCTTCCTCCGTGCTCCTACCATCTATCAGTCTCTGAAGGTTTATATCAGTAACGTCTTGAAAACGACTTTAAAGAAAATGGGTTCAATCTTCCTCTTGATCTTTACATAGAACACTGACATCAAGAGGGAGTCCCGCGTGTGGGATGAACATACAGAATATGCTGGTTTAGATGAAGTTTTGTGGCTATTAGGATCAGAAAGCCACGTGAATTCTCTGTCTGGTATGAGTGGGCAGGAAAAACTTCAGATGTTCCATGATCCTGCACTTTTCTGATCTTTTTCAGGCCATGCCTAATTAGTACCAAATTCAGAAAGCAAAAATTTAAGCCTGAATTATTTATCACATCATATTTATAAAATGCACTGCAATACACATCATGGCCCCGTTCACAACAACTACAAATAAGATTAATGTTTCACTGATGCCATAGTCCTTAATATGAAAATATAATTATCTAGCTGAAGAGTTTCTTAAATTACATACTTTCAAACTAGTATGAGCAGAATTTATCCTCGTGTCTGGTGCTAAGCCAAGTGGAAAAAATATTGGAAGTAGAATTGACAAAACACATGTTGGTTCCGTCTATCAACATTTCCAGTGCACACCTTACATGGCCCTGTCAGCATCTCAACCCCAACCAGTTCTCGAATGCTAACGTGATATTTTCCTCCCCGAAATGTGATCCTGAAGAAGGTCCAGAACTGCAGAGGCACATTGAAGAATCAAGTGCTTAGTTTGCAGTAGGTCCACTGCAAGTTAAAATACATTTATCTTGCCCAATATGGAAATTAAAAAAGGAAGGATATCACAGAAATTATTCTTACCTTTCCTTGGAGTAATTAGTGTCTGCATTTGATGTATATTTACAGATGTGCACCAGAGAAAGTATAAAGTATTTGTTGCAAATACCTTTGAGAAAAAGCCGCCACACCTTTAGTCTGCATTGTCTGCAAAGTACATTTTCTGCAGCTTCCTCTGGAATGATACATCCAGAAAGATGTGTAATAAACTTTTGGAGTAAGTGTGTGTAAATAGATCTCTTTAATTTACTGTACTTTTAAATACCATTTTCTCCCTTGAAGAAACTCCCAATGACTACAGCAAAGCCTACCAGCTGTTTCTCTGATGATCATCAATAATGCACAGTAGAGTAAAGCCTGGTAGATGGATACATTGATGGTAAAGAGGCTCAAAGAAAGATGAATGCAGTCCAGTGAGTGAAGAATGCAAGCTGGAGAACGCGATACTAGTGAGCTTATAAAATGGATTTTCTTGTGGGAAAAACGTCCTTTCCAGGGCTGCGTGCCCAGTATCTTTGAAAGTAGCTTTGTTGTAAGCAGTGTATAGAACTTCCGATTTTTGCATTTTATTTAATTCCTAAAAGATTTTTTCCATTGCATGTTCTAGGTATAATTTCATTGCTTTTGCTTCATGTTCCTAGGAGCTGAGCTGCTGTGGTGATGTTCTCTCCATCAGAAATAGAAGGCGTGCATTGCTTTAAGGCATAAATGAAGGGGTAGGGTGACGGTATCCCAAAGGTTAGCTGCCTGATCAGCCTGCCTTGCTTCATACATTCTTCCAATTCGTACTTGTTTGTAAAACAATTAAATTTTCCAAATTAATTGCTGTTAATATAAATGCATTTTGTTTCTCAGTGCCACTGGTGGTTCTGCAGTTATGGGCAAGAATATAAGTTTATTTCCCTCTAGGAAATAAACTTCTAAACTTCCCTCTAGGATTTCCCCCAGAGAGCTGAGGGAGATTAACCACTATTTTAGGCAGCTAAGTGTGAAATACTGGTTGGGTCAATAACTTGCCCCCTGCTGCTGTTAAGTTAGCTGTCAAAAGCTGGCAAAGAGACAAATCGGTATGGAGTCAAGTGCAGGTCTGATTGTACTGAGCTCTCTGGCCTGGACTCTCCGACTTCACTGAATATTCCTCTCTGGCTCTGTGTAATCACAAGAACTCTTTGTCAAACCAGCATTAATCTGCTCTCCATAACTACCCTTCCATGTGACAAGAAGCACGGAGAAACGCATAAAGACAACGTTTTGTGTCAAATCTGGGTTTTGTATGATGGAGCAGCTGTAATGACTCTTAGCATTCCAAAAACACCCATCTGCATCCCCAGGTAGGACGGTCCCAGCATTCACCCTGCCACACCAGCACCCCCGTGGAAAGGGCTGTTCAAGGAGAAGAGCTCTGCAGGACTTCCAGACGATCTGCATCCCTCCTGAGGATTCTTTTTACAGAAGGCTAACATCTGGCTCCAGGTTCAGAGCCATCTTCAACTAATCTGAATACAAATTTAATGAATGTCAATTAATGTCACCATCATGAGTGATTTAAATATGGCTAAGTTCAGCTGATCTTGTCTCAATCCATTATTTAAAAGTTTGCAGTCGCAAGTCCAGTGCTATAACTGATGCAATAGCAAAGCAAAACAACCCACCAAAACCCCAAACCAACAAAACCCCCAAGGTTTACAAAGGCAATTGATAATTTTACCTGTCCAGCCTGCAAGACAGCAGCAGTAACCGGTGACAGGATCACACCCATCTGCGTGGCTACAGTCACAATGTTCACTGCAATTAAGACCATATGTTCCATCCTTCCAAAAATATAAACAAAGAAGTCTCTCAGTAATCAGTTTTTTGTTCTAAAATGTGCAAAATCATCTATCATGTCCCTCAATGTTGAGTCGCATTTTTTAAATTAATATACAGAGAAGATAGAAACAACTCAGTGCCTAACATTTCTATGTAGATTTAAAAAATGATGTTCAAGAAAATGCAGATAACAGGGCAATAGCTCTGAGAAGACATAATGCCAAGTATAATACATCTACTTGACTGCTAGAACCCCAATCTGTTATTTACACATGATTTCCTTCAGATATCCATAGACTAAATGAGATACTGACCTACTGTACATTTAGAAGAGGTATGTGGACTATGGTTTTAAAGGGGATGCAAGACTTTGCCAGCTGTACTTACAGGACACGGCTGGTCACAGTACTCCCCTTGCCACCCGGGTGAGCAGAGACAAAAGCCGTCAGCCGGCCTGCAGGCCGCTCCGTTTGCGCAATAACATGTCTGGTTGCAGTTAAGACCCCAACTTCCACTTGAACATGGAATCGAGCAGTCCACTCCTTGCCACCCTAAAGAAACATATGAGAGAAACAGCATTTGGGATGTTTTCATGAAAAAAGCAAGGTAGACACAGCAAGAAAGGCAGCTTGCAAGCTGATGCTCTTTGATTCTAGGACCAGTTTCCTCCCGATCTTGGTGTGTATTAAGACTATCTTGGGGTCAAAGACTTACCCTTTGATTATGACCTCCCAACTTCATCTACCAGCATCCACACCTACAGAAGGGCGATCTAGGTATCGCTCTGTTGGCTGTTTGCCAGGTTAAGGTGTCGGATGCCCCTCTGGGACCTGCTTGGGCAGCAAGAGCGAGTGCAGTACTGGTGGCAGGCTGGAGACCTGCTGATCGGCGAGAATGCAAGGAACTTGCCATTTGATGCTGCCTGTTTCTCACCTCATTTTTTTGAGAATGCTCTTTAGTATAAAGAAGCTATTACACCCAGAAAAAGACCAAAGCCATCATTTCTAACCATTAAGGCTCCAATCTTAACTACCAGCCGCACAATGGCTTTCATTACACTGCAGCTGTATGTAATGGAGTTGAGCAGTAACTCATGGTTTATACACCCTCATTAAATGGGGTTCTACAGTGATCCATTAATTCATGTTTGAAATGGCAGATTTTATCGTTATTTGCCTCACTTCTGTTTTAGGGCTTATGGATGCCATACAGGCATAGCTCATGTTGGTATTCTCGGGGAAGGCACTGCCACACAGGGAACATAAGAGACACTGTGTTGTGGAGCAGTACAAGATTCCTCAAGTGATTGCTGGATACACGGGTTATGGTCACTACGAAGCACATAAGGGAATTATGGACATACGTGTGCGACGAAAAGAAGTTAGTCTTGCAGAGAGACTCGAGAGCAGGCAAGAGTTCTTGTTCCCCAGATAAAAGACAACCACATCCTGCAACTCCATGCGGGCTCAGGAGACAGAGGATACCTGCACATGGCTGGGGTGTCACAGTGTCAGGGTTCAGGGAGGATGGGGAGCTGAGAATGGCAGCAAGGGCAGACAGCCAGGGCCCACCCCACAGTCCCCAAGCGGAGGGTAGGCAGCTGGGATCGGCGAGGAGCCCAGATCACCAGGAAAGCCTATGGGAACCAGACCAGTCCAAGGTCAAGACAGGCAGGCAGTCTGCAGGTCAGGGTCAGGGTCAGGTCTGATGAGGATAACCACGGCCGGGCACAGCCCAGGGCAACGGGCTGAAGAAAAGAGAGGCAGGAGGCTGCCTCTGCTCCCTTGCCCAGCTGTGCTGCTCTAGGGATGGAGGGGAGAACAGGGGCTTTTGAGTCCTGGAGAAATGGGGCAGCAGAGCGATAGAGAAAAAAAACCCAAGAGTCTGGGAATTGCTTTGCATTTCCTCTGGCGAGGAGCTGTGGCTCTGCCAGCACGCTTCGTTCTGTGACCTGTTCTTGCAGCAGGGCAGTTAAATCTGGCCCCTGGTCAGGGCAGAGACAAAACATACAGTCAAGCTCCTGTTGAGTTTTGATACTTGGGCAGCCTGTTGAATTGCTGACAGGCCTAAGAAAATAGTGGAGTTACTGACTGCACAGCTGTGCCACTTTAAAAGGGGAGATGCGTTGATGCCAAATTGAAGACGGTTGTTCAATCTGAATTTTGTTTACCTTCTTTGCAATAGCACAGACCATCCACAGGGGAACATGCACCATCATTTTTGCAATTACAAACTGATGAGCAATTGGTTCCGTAGGTTCCTGCCATGCAGGTAATGGTGCAGTCATCTCCCTGCAAACCAAAAAAAAGAAATCTGAATCGCAGGAAATTCCCATCTCTGCACAGGGAGGCTTTCTCTTTCGAAACAGTGAACAGAGTGTTATGAGTTGATTGCTGAGTCTTCAGCACTTGAGCAGTCACCGCTGCTTCCCATGATTATGATGCAATTAGTTCTTTGATTGACTTGGAGGAAAGGGACAA